AATCACCTGTTAGTTCCCTTTATATAATGACAGGCCTTCTTGCTTTCGGCAAAATTTTGAGGATCCCACACAGCCAGTTTACAGTGGATGTACACCTGAGGAACACAGGGCTCGAATTAAAGTTCCTTTAAATATTTATTCTTGAAATAATTTAACCTGTTCTCACCTCTCCAAAACCAAAGTTGAAGGACTGGAGGTAGAGGATGATGGAAGACGAGTGGTACCGAGGCAGAAACATCGAGTTTCCTTTTTTGCTTTCTAAAAGACACCTGGAGAAATTGGTACGTCAGATTACCAATACGCATCGCTTCCACTACTCTGAGTACAAAGTCTGAGCAGTACTGGAACCCTACCCCTTGTTGCCAATGAGTGGGTAAACCTGGCTGCCAGGCCGCAGCTCAGCTGTGGGGGCTGCGACACATTCCTCCATGAGCAACAGCAGTGGCTGATGAGACTTCTGCTCCACTGCTGCCCATATTGGCATGGGGGAGCCCAGAGGAATGATGTTCGTCGTTGCTATGCTTGATAGCTCCTCTGTGGAAAAGTAAATGCTAAGTAGTGTGCGTTTTAACATGTGCTCGTAATTTGGCATGGTGAGAAGTTACCATTGAGAAGCGCCATGTGGAAGACCAGCCTGCCGTGACCCTCGGAAACCCCATATCCAGGGTTCACGAATCGGGGAATCCAATCCTTGGGTCTGAAATAAAAAATATTTAAGAACGGCACGATTCTACATTTCATGCAATTTCAGTTTGAGAAAAAAAAAAAATATATATATATATATAAGTGTCACAAACCTTCTGTAAACACATTCAATGGGATGCACAAAATCTGGAGGGTTTGGCTTTGCCTGTGGCCTGTAGCTCATTTCATTCTGATAGAATATGCGTTTTCCCTTTACCTGCAAGAGGGGAAAGCAAACAAGTGATTAAATTAGAGCTCACAAGTGAGTGGAAGCTACTGAAGTTGCATCTCTCAGGGTACAGTACCATTTTAGTAAACTTGCACTCGGAAAACGTATAGTTGAACTGTGCTTCCCCCTCTCCAGAGGGCAGAACGTTCCACTGAGATGCCATGCAGTTTCCAAGAAAGAGTCGAGCTGCATACGGCACCAGCTCCGGATTCACCCTCCATGTCACTCTCACAGAGTTGTTTGCACAGACCACATTGATGTCTGGAAAAATAAAAACTCAGTCATCTTTTATGTGGACAGAAACACTTAAAAAATATGTATCTGTGCATATATGCCTGAAATCCACCCCCCAAAAAGAATATATACACCTGCATTGATAACAGTTGTTGCAAAAACAGCCAGGACAAGCAAATCTAGGTAGAGATGAGTCCCCATGTCTAAACAATCCTGTACACATTGGGACCAACATGCTTTATGAACTTCTTGCTTAATGACCTCAACCATCAACACCTGTGTGAAAGCAGAGCCCACGAATCACAGACTCAGAGTGCTCTATGAGCTCCTCACTGTGTGATTGGGTGGACTTTGAGTGAGTGGTATCTTTATTTTTACATTTCTTTTTCTTACTACATTTGCTTGACAGAATTTAAGTTTAACACATTTCCTTCCTCTTATCAGCATCTTTCTTCATCGTGAGAAAAGATTAATGTTAGACTTTTTTTTCTAGTTATCTTTGGAAATGCCCAGTCTTACAGAAAAAAGTGACACCTGTCATATCATAGGCCACTGAAACTTAGAGTATTACTTTTCATAAAGCTTACAAACTCTATGTGGATCAGTAACTCTCCCATCCCAACAATGGACTCTTCTCACTGTTGAGGTCTGGGAAGCGCTTCCGC